TAAATCTGTGTAGCGAAAAATAGTAGGTACCATTGGGTGTAACAAAATGAAATAAGTGAAAACTAAACTGTGTGGAAATTTCTGGTGGGCCTCAAGAGGTCATCTAGCTTAGAATCATGGAATCATAGAATCATAGAATAGTTAGGGTTGGAAAGGACCTTAAGATCATCAAGTTCCAACCCCCCTCCCATGGGCAGGGACACCTCACACTAAACCATGTCCCCCAAGGCCTCGTCCAGCCTGGCCTTGAACACCGTCACGGATGGAGCATTCACAACCTCCCTGGGCAACCCATTCCAGTGCCTCACCACCCTAACAGGAAAGAATTTCCTTCTTAGCTTGTTTTCCTGCTGGAGACCAGCAACAAGTGGTGTCCCTCAGGGGTCGGTGTTGGGACCGGTCTTGTTCAACATCTTTGTCGCTGACATGGACAGGGGGTTGAGTGCGCCCTCAGCAAGTTTGCCGATGACACCAAGCTGTGTGGTTCGGTTGATACGCTGGAGGGAAGAAATGCCATCCAGAGGGACCTTGACACGCTTCTGAGGCGGGCTGATGCCAACCTCATGAAGTTTAACCATGACAAGTGTAAGGCCCTACACCTGGGTTGGAGCAATCCCAGGCACAGCAACAGGTTGGGCAGAGAAGAGGTTCAGAGCAGCCTGCGGAGAAGGACTTGGGGGTGCTGGTTGATGAGAAAATGAACATGAGCCGGCTTCAGTGTGTGCTCACAGCCCAGAAAACCAACTGTATCCTGGGCTGCATCAAAGGGAGTGTGACCAGCAGGTCCAAGGAGTTGATCCTGCCCCTCTACTCTGCTCTCGTGAGACCTCACTTGGAGTATTGTGTGCAGTTCTGGTGTCCTCAACATAAAAAGGACATGGAGCTGTTGGAACAAGTCCAGAGGAGGCCACGAGAATGATCAGGGGACTGGAGCACCTCCCATATGAAGATCGGCTGAGAAAGTTGGTGCTGTTCAGCCTGGAGAAGAGAAGGCTGCTTGGAGACCTCACAGCATCCTTCCAGTATCTGAAGGGGGCCTATAGGGATGCTGGGGAGGGACTCTTCATTAGGGACTGTAGTGATAGGACAAGGGGTAATGGGTTAAAACTTAAACAGGGGAAGTTTAGATTGGATATAAGGAGAAAATTCTTTCCTGTTAGGGTGGTGAGGCATTGGAATGGGCTGCCCAGGGAAGTTGTGAATGCTCCATCCCTGGCGGTGTTCAAGGCCAGTTTGGACAGAGCGTTGGGTGATATGGTTTAGTGTGAGGTGTCCCTGCCCATGTCAGGGGGTTGGAACTTGATGATCATAAGGTCCTTTCCAACCCTAACTGTTCTATGACTTTATGATTTTAATGCAAAGGTAATTGTGAAATATTCATGTCTGGCTCTCAGCTTTTTGAGGGAGCTCTTTGGATCTTACCTCTGGATAATATTGCTCTGATAGTCCCTCCAAGTTTACTTCAAGCTAAGAGTCTCTAGGGTGAAGTATCAGTAGATGAGTGAAAATAAATTCTGAATGGATGGTCATTGGCAGAGAAGCACACTTCTCTACCTGGGTCACACAAACCCATCTTGGTTGCAAAGGCACACCTTTAGGCTGGTTTCTGTTCTGACTTTTGCCTGAGGGGAAGATTACTGATACACAGGTTAAAGCTGACACAGGGACACTGTTTGTGTGCCTACAGCTACACATATGTTTGTGCTTTGTTGTACTGGGGCCTTAGCCAGCAAGTCCTGTATAGTGCTTTTCATGATATAGATAAGATTCTTGTAAAGTAAAACTTAATAAACAAAGGATTTCTGGCTGGTTCTCTACTAAAATTCTGGTTGTTACATTTTGCACTCTTATTTTGATTTTGCTTTGTTGATGTAATCTCTGCTCAAGGTGAAAGGGGAAAAAACAGTCAAATGGTCTGCATTTATATTTTATTAGGTTTCATTGACACATTGGAAGTCACTTGTCTATTACAAAAACTACGGTAACAGAAACCATACCAAAACAGTAATAACTTTATGGGTTTATAAACAATAGTAGCATGTTTGCCAAGATGGCTAGTAACTGTTTGGACCTGTCTTCTTAACCTGTCATTTTTATTTTTTTTTAAGAAGAGAAAACACAAGAGACAAGTTTCCACTCCTAGCACATTGGCAGAAATACAGAAACCCCATTCTTAATGTGATGGGACTCATAAATGGACAACTGTTCAACTAATAAAACTGTCAAAAGCACTCGTACATGCGGCTAAAAGGTTAGACGTTTGAAAGGCATTGCCATGCCAAATATACAGCCTTATAGACTGACTTCCCATTAATTTATTTATCTAATAGATGCATTACAGCACATGTGATGGACTTGATTTTCAGTTGCCCTTTTCTAGGTTTAAGCATAAGAACTCAATGACAATCCTTACTTTTGTTGTTGAGTCTCTTTTCCCATGGCTCCCCCATGTAGAAAATATTTTCTGAAGGCCAAATTCAATCCTAGATCCTGACCTTACCAATATGGTTTCAGACCACTAGATATCTAAAATTCAATGGTTCACACTCACAGGTTTACATTATACACAAATGGTAGGTGAGCCTAAGTGATGCTGCAGTCCAGGACCACAGGCACATGTTTCCAGATGCACCAGTGCAGCACTCCCAGCTGCAGTGATGAGTTCCACATGCTGACCCATCCCAGGTACCCAATCAGCCTGTGCTTCTGCAGCTAGTCTGTCATTCAACCCAGATTGTCACACTGTATAGAAGTGCTTGGATCTTTGATAGGAAAAAGCTGCTGCTAATTTCAGTGAAGTGATCTAGCACTAGCTGAGAATATGTTCCCTTGTCTGTTCTGGGATTTGCTTCTGATAAGTGCCTGCCTCTCTCAGTTCACTTTCCATCATACAAGAATAGAAAGTGTTCAATAACTTAAAGAATCAAAGTATGAAGGATGAGAGAGAACCATTAATTTCTCTTGCCTCTTTTTGGTAGAAATGAATGACACTGACTTAAAGAAAATGGGATGTATCTATCCCTGCCATAATTCTGCTGGTTCTAGTAGCTGTAGAGCAGAAGCAAAGCAGTCTTCCTGCCATTAAGGACTAAGGGGTAATAAATGGCTTAACCATAGTTTGCCTTGCTTTCCTCCCTGATACTGAAAAGACAGTGTAACATTTTACAGTCTATTTCACTGTAAAACTCAAGAGGGAAAGAAATAAGACTATTCCCTCCAACTTCTGTATGTTATGACCAGTAGACTGTTATGGTGAGAAGTTAAAAAACAAAGAGAAAACAAATCCCTCTCTCAGACAGCCTGGCAAAGTGATATTGCATTCCAGACAATCCCATTCTGATCCAGGAAGACACCTGCAATCACTTTCACCTATAGTTTAATGAAATCACTGCCATACAGCTGAGTTCTTCTGCCATCAAATTAAAAATGATACTCTAATTTGAAATAGTGTTGGTTCTTGTTCTGTTTGCTTTGGGATTATTTTGTTTGGTTTGTTTGTGGTTTAGGTTTTGGGGTGTTTCTGCTTTTTTGTGACAAACTTTAAAGAAAAAAAATGTGTTTTCTGCATACTCAATTTCGGCTGTAAAATAAGTGTAAAATTCATTTTACCTGGAGCTTATGTCAGCTGAGCAATCACTCACTAGCTTACAATATTCTTAAAGTATTAGGTGAGTTGGGTTATAGATGACTCTGAACAGCAGATTTGTATGTTTTGCTGCTACTTAATGGCCTTAATATACAAGAATTAGATTTCAGTGGATTATATTTTTTTTTTTTGGTACTGATGTCTCTGGCCATAGTAGGGAAACAATATCCTGGAAAAATACTTTACAGAAGGATGATGTTCTTCCTTCTCTTCAACAGAATGTGCAGGTCTTGAGTTACGATTCAATTATTTTTCTCTAAGATATATACTTTCATTATCACTTAAGAGTAACTTTGAGCTGAAGTTTTCAGTTAGCTGGTGGGTGGGAGCCCTTGCTCCTTGTTCTTCCTCTCTGTACTGATCTAGCAGCAGAGAAGGACAGAAGCCAGGGCTGTCTCATGGAACCAGCAACCAGTCACCTTTCTGCTTGCTTGGATTTTAGTGCCAGATGGGTCAGAAGCCTATGCTAGCCATGAGCTATGGAGCACATACATGCCTCATGTCCGCTGTTACAGTTAATGCTTCTTCCACTGTATTTTGTGTTAGTGTATGTACAGTACTGCTCCTTCCTAGTATTTTTTGATTATTAGTTCATTTTAGGGAAAGGTAACAAATGGGACTATAATATTCAAAGAGCTAGATGGAGTTTTCTTAAAATAAGTATTTTTATAGTAATAACTTTCTGTGTGTTGTGTATATAGTTACTGGGGTGTTGATCTGCTTTTTAAAAATATACTTATTTATGGGGGTCTGAGAGCTCGGATCCCTAAAAGCAATGCTCAACTTAAAGCAATGCATTATATTTGAACACTGTATGTTTGACAATACATTTCATGCCTCATTTCCTGCCAGTTGTGAGCTCTAGTAAACACAAAGAGCAAATTCACATTTTTCATGTCAAAAAGACCTATAGTTTGTTCCCTCTAGGATATCACTAGTTAAATAGATTTCTGTAAGGACATACTCTGTTCACACTATAATCTGTTGTGACACTAAATCTTAATCCGTCTTCAAATTTCCATTGTTTTTGTACTAAAAGATTATTTCTAAAATATTTTATATCTCACATTCATTTTCTTTGCTAAGAATTAATTGCATAAGCAGTGGGTATCTGACCACTATTAAGTCTTCTATCGTAACCCAAAATTAAGAATTTAATGTGGATTATTCATAACATCTATCCAGCTAATTCAAAGTAATTTTTCTTTGCACTAGGCAGAATTTACACTTTCTTGAAATGAGCTTACCTCCTCATGAGACTTTGAAAAGAAGTCAACCTGGGCTGTCCTAAAGCCTTTGGCACACCTATGTCACTACTCTGCTGCAGAGCTGAAGGGTTTTATTCTATGTCATCCATAGGTTTCATCCTGCTCTTTCATAGGTGCATGTGGCTGCGTAAAGGAGGAAAATGAATCGGAGTTCTTTGGCCCTACAAATGGCAAATGGATGTGTGGCCCTGCTACTTAATATAGGTAGGTAGAGAATTCTGTTCTTGTAGCATTTTACACAAACTTGTCATACAAGACACTTACTGTGAAAGGCTAGAAGAGTGAAGAATAAGACCTCATATTTCAAGGCTCTGTCTTGTTATTTTAAATTAGCTCAGCAAGGAGCTGCCTGAAGTTTTCTGGCAGTCATAATAAGCTTCTGTGAGAAAGACCTATGATGCTGGACTACCTGGGTTTATATCATGATTGCTCCTTATTACTATAGAATCGCTCAGGTTAGAAGGCACCTTGGGAGGTCTCTTATCCAACCCCCTGCTTAAAGTCAGGAGAAATACTGAGTTGACACCAGGGTTCTCAGGGCTTCTCTCAGTTGGGTCTTGAAAACTTCCAGGGAGGGAGATGCCATGACCTCTCTGGGCAGAGTATTTCAGTGCTCGATTGTCCTTGCTGAGGAAGAAAGTTTTTCTTGCATCCATACAGAAAATCCTGTTTCAGTCTCTTTCTTGTTCTCATACTGTCTCACCTCAAAAAAGAGCCTGGGTCCATCTTTTCTGCAACTGCTTTGTAGAGTGTTGTAGAGCTGCTGTTATATCGAGATGTACCAATACTAGCACTAGGTAAGATGCTTGGAGCCGTCAGGTTAATTCCTTACTACTGCATGATGTGGGGAAACAGTAAGAGGAGCAGGCGTGTTTGAAAGTTGGATTGGTGGATCCCGAATCTAGACAGGACTGGCCATGTACATAGACTGAAAACTAATGTCTGTTGTAACTTGAATAGTGGAACTGAGAAATGCTGTTTATCTTCTTGAAACTTGGAATAGCATTTAACAAAAAATGAACCTCGTTAGCTTAAGAAGGTGTAACAAACTCAAATTATTTAATGTGTACACATCTCGAAGCTGAGCAAGAATTGAATTTATTGGCAAAACAGCATTACTGGGTTAAATTCTGGATCTCTAATATGCTGAAAGTGTGCATTCAGACTGTTATTTCATGGGACTTGAAAAGCCTCTAACAAATCAGTTTGAAGTAGGCTGCCTAGAATGGCAAAATCCTCTTTCAGAAAAGAAATAACTGTAGCTGTATGCAGGCCACAGAAGTCTTTGTTTAAAGCACATTGCTGATTTTTGGATTTATTTTTTTTTAACATAAATGCAAGCTAGGATAAAACACATAGCTAAGCAAAAAAGGACCTCTTGGAGTCAGATATTTGTGAATAAAGTGTCGGCTCTAGAAAGGTAATACAAATGATATACAGTTGCTTTGTAGTCGTTGGCTCTTTAATTGAGCAGACTGATGTGTTGCGAGCATAATGGATCTTTGGAGCAGACTGAGAATGAGGTGCTGTTATTTTGTTTCTCTAAGCCACACATTTGAAGTGCAGGTGAATGCAAACCATTTAAGAAATAATTGGTCTGACCTAGCATTGGTGTAGCCATTTTGGCAGCAGTAAAAGAGGTGTTACTCAGGTGACAGAAGACAATGAGACAGAGATATATAACACAATATTTGCTCAGTCTAAAAAAAGTCAGCCTAATGAGAAGAGGAAGAAAAAAGCTACAAAAGAAGTCCTGTCCTTTTTGGTTCCACTTACAGCCCCTGCACATTCTTCTACTTCATTAGCCAAATTTCAGTACCTTTCCATCTTTCCTGATTGCTCTTTAAAAACAGTCCGTCCCCCCGTCCCCCTGTCCCCCCCCCGTTTCATTTATCATTTCTATCCTTGCTAGTAAAATCCTTATCCATGACCTGGGCAGCTCAAACCTGGATCACTGCAACTTCCTAGTTTTCCTTGTATCAGTTCCCTTCTCTTCATGTACATCTGTAAGAACACAACTGAGTTCATTTCATAATTTGGCTGCTCTGTGACACCCTTTCCTTCAACAAACCTATGTAAATGTGGTTTGAAGTAATGTAAATACTTCAAAAAGTATTTACATTAAATACTATAAAACTGTTTTACTACTTAAAAAATATTGTGAGTTCCCTGGAAAAAAAGTTGTTTTTGAAGAGCAGACATTTACTATTAACACTTTGAAATCAAAAGGTCACACCCAGGTGAATGGAGCTGATCTATGGATATTGAAAATCTAGCTTCAGGTAATTCTATATGGGCTTTAAAAGGTATTGCAGAGTTATTTTTTAATGTGTTCTCTGTACTGCTGCACATGCAAGCAGCTTCATATAGGCTAATGGCTTTTATCCCTCGTCTGAGTGGTGTGTTCTGGTGACATAAGGAAAGGATGAAACAGAAGTTCTTAGTCTCTCAAAATCTAGTGAGAATGGGACTTTCCAGGAAAGGATGTAGATCTTAGAGACCTTAAGTCAGGTGCATTTATGAAGGAGGAAACTGGCAGGAAAAAGTTCCAGTGTGTCAAGTTGTGAGTAATATTCATATTTGTCACAGCAGGGGTCACTGGCTCAACAACAGAAAGAGTTGCATGAAGCAGTGTAAATGTTCTTGGTTCCTCCTCATCAGACAATACCTTTTTGGAAACCTGACGCTGACGCAGGCAGTGCAGTGACTGCGGGGAGTACACCTTCAGACGAGATGCAATCAGAGAAGGTACAGTTGCAAAGTGGTTCTTGCTGTTAATTTTACCTGTGGCATCTTCTGTTGATGGACATGGAGATCTTTAAAAGGAGAAACAATGGATTGTTTTGGAATCCACCTAGAAGGGCTGAGTAATAATTCTACTTGGAGAAATGCTTATCGGGCCCAGGTTGATACACATAGAATTTCAGGGTCACAGAGGCTCAGACTCCTGCCTAATGATTGCTTCATCTAGTCATTAATGCTCCATTGGAGTCACTTGGTTAACTATGAAGTTGGTTTATCAACCCTACTTGTATTCTTTCCTGGATGACATTTTAAAACACAACAGCCTTCAAAATGTTTGTCTTTTGAATTGTATGTTTGTATGGTATTCTCTGTGAAGCTTAGTGGCTCAGCTGCTTCAGTGTGGCTGGCCATATTAAGCTCTCAGCAAGTGAAATGATAGGGTCCTTAGTATGTGAGCTTAGACATGAACGGTCTAATAGGATGTTACAAGACATTTTACTTACCTGTTTTGATGTCTTACTGGAAGTATGCTTATGAGGGATATGAAAGTGGAACGTGACTTCGAAGAACAAGAGTGAAACTTTACAGATGTGATGTAGATTACTCTGCTGCTTGAAAAACTTCACGTCTTTATAGAATCCTTGGGAGCAGATGTAATTGTGCTTTGATACAAGTCAGCGTTTGTGCCGACATGCAGATTCTTGACCATAGCCAAGCAGATTCTCAGCTGAGCATAAACTCATGTTGACGTTTTGGGGATCAGGCTTTCATCTGGGGTTTCTGCACACATGTAAATGGGTGCATTTGAATATTTTTACTAGATGGCTAATGGACATGGGTGCACAGCTGCTCCTGGATTTCCTGATTCTGGGAGAGACATGATGAGCACAGAAGGCTCCTCTTAGACGGTAAACGCAACTGTGGCATGGTAAAAGATTTGCCACTACAAAGTGAAGAACTGTCATTGCCACATGGGAACGTTAGTCCCATTTATTCTTCTTGATCCTGTTAAAGGGCACTTGAATAGCAAGCTGTCATTATTTGGATTCTTTCAATGTTTTGTATTAATCTAAAAGCAGCACCAAGAGGTGGCATTTAAAATCCTTTCACTTGCATTTTTAGGATGCTGTAATAGAGTTTCTTCCTAACATGTTCAAGGTCTATTAAATAAATCATAGAATCATAGAATAGTTAGGGTTGGAAAGGACCTTAAGATCATCAAGTTCCAACCCCCCTGCCATGGGCAGGGACACCTCACACTAAACCATCTCACCCAAGGCTTTTGCCAGCCTGGCCTTGAACACTGCCAGGGATGGAGCATTCACAGCCTCCCTGGGCAACCCATTCCAGTGCCTCAGCACCCTAACAGGAAAGAATTTCTTCCTTATATTCAACCTTAAATGCACTGAAGGATTCCTCTTCCTTCTGATATGGGCTTGTCAAGTTAATCTAATTTCAGTGTCTGCACATGGAACGTGTGCTATTTTCTCCTTTCAATGATTTCAAAAAATTAATAATTAAAGTTTCCTATTTTTGCTTAATAATTAGTGCAAATTACTGCACTTTTCTTCCTTTGTGTTTTATAATATTATGGTAATCATTGCTATGTGTACCTGTATGCGTGACACATTAAAAACATTTTTTGTCAAATCAGTTGAAGAAATTGCTGAGCCAGTACAACTTCAGGTTAGAGAACTTTGTAGGCCAAATTTACTAATAAATCCTGGCATGACGCTTATTGCAAGGACGCCAGCCTGTCAATGGCTTAATCATGGAGCATAATCCTGATATCTCTTTATTGTACTGTGGAAAATGATTGTTCGTGACTGACTAGAGCGTGAGCTTGCTCATTTCCAAAGTAAGCTGTGTTCTTAAAAAGGAATGGTGCTTATTTACATCCTGCTTCTGTAAGGGGCTGAGCCATGTACATGAAGGTGCTTGGCATCTCTTAGGAAGGCTCAGCAAGGTCCAAGCCTGACCCTCCAAAGATTGATATTTGTCTGAGGTAGGAAGCTCGCTTTATGTTTTGGATTTTTAACTCACCTCTGTAAAAAAAAATATAGCACTGAATATATCCCCCCTTCCTCCTTGAGAGAATGTTTATGGATGGTTGCTTTGCCTTCCCTTTTCTCCAAGCTCTGGGTTTGTGATGCATGTCTCTCTTAGAAGTAAATAAATTCTGCCTCTTCAGAAAATATCACGGTTCATTTCCTTAATTCCTGTGGAAGGTAGGGCAGTTAGTCAAGACAGTTGGCTCAAGTAATCAGTGCTGAGGGTTTTCACTTCTGTACTTATTCTGAGGAATGGTCAATAAGAAAGGATTAACCAACAGAGAAATCTCCCCATCTATGAATTTTGATGGGATTCATGCTTATATGTGTTTTGTGTTTTTTTTTTTTTTGCTTTGCAGTACAGAGTAAGTCCCCACTTAAATTGTGATCAAACACTTAGTACACAGACCCTGAGCTTCCTCTGAACAGCGGTTGCTGTGGATATGTGGGAGAAGAGCTCTGTGCAGCACCATGGGGGCTCGGTCAAGCACAAGCAGGAGCCTTAGAACAGTTTGATTGTCTTGAAAATAGAATCCAGCCACATCATGGGGTTTAGTTTTCCTTGCTGGGATTGAGTGGTGCTTGATGTGCACCATTCATTGGGGGCGAGGCAGTGCTGCTTTGCGCTCAGTCGCTTGCTTCTGATTAAAAAGACAGGATAGAAACAAGCTTGCACAAGTTGCTTTACACACTTTGGTAAGGTGACTTTCCACTAATATACACTTGACCAATGCCTAACATTCAAAATCATTTAAAATATTGTAACACGCTAATAGATATGACTACTTACAGCCTTTAAATTTACTCTTTTTTTTCCCTTTTTCTGTTTGTAAGTTTTCAGAAACTTACTCTTTGTGAATATAGTCAAGCTATAAAATCCTAAAGCTGGCTACTGATGTTGAACTTTATATTCTCTATTTTTCAAATGGACCTGTACAGTCAGGAAAGCCTCTGCAGAGAAAATGTATCAACTCAGGTTGGTCAATTTGTGGTTATTGAGTGACTATGTGTAATCACTGTTTATAAACTATTAATGAAATTCACAGGAGAACTAAGTGTAATAGCAGGTCAGGGAAGAAAAGGTGGGAGGAGAATGGGTCTGAGTATGTAAACTTTCTTTTAAGGTGGCATTTATTAAAATCAGTATCAGTGATAAATCAGGATACAGCACAGCTGCCCTTTTAAATCACTTCCTATGAAAATTAGACCTGACTTGAGTTGCTGGAGATAAGTGGTAAGAATTTAGCCCATGCTGACCTCCTACGGCTTGATGTTTTTTCCTTGTTTATTTTAGCTTTCCTGATACCTTGATCAGTTACTACTTTGGTACAATGGGTCTCTGAAAGAAAACTTTAATTATTAGATGGGTGGTGGATGAAACAAATCAGCTCCTGCTTCTGAAATTTGTGTGCATGGATCTTTGAGATCCTTCTATTTGAGATGCTCTAGTTTATTCATAAAAATAGATGTTCTAAGTATGTGGATTTGTGGTATAATCACCCTACAACGTTGATCAAAATATTTACAGGGTTTGGTGGAGTGAATTAGTGGAGTGAAACTTAGCCTGGATATTTAGGGAAATTTACTGGGGAAAACTCTTGAAAAATTATGGCTTCGTGTGAGTATACTCAGTTAATCCCTTCGTATTTCTCTTCTTGCATAAGAGCTGCAAATCAGTGCAAATGTAACAGCAGTAAACTTTCTTTTCCTATTAAAAAACCTAATTTTGCTTAGATGTTCTCTTTATAGTGTTTTTCAGCCTCTGTTTGGAGTCTTAAGTAATACTGGTGTAAGGATGAGTTTTCATAGCAACAGTGTACAAGGCATGAACAAAATCTGTTACTGGATATCAGATTAGAACACGTTCTAGAAAGGGCAGAAATTTCAGAAATGGTTTTGTAGTAAGCGTTGAGACAGAAGTGTTTCTGCTTCAATGATTTAGTCTTCTGTAGGAATAACCTTCAGTACAACAGCTCCATAAATGCCCTTTTTCTAGGAAGTTCAGTTGAGCTCTCTTCTTCCCTGTTCTGATGCTCACAGTAAGGAAGGACAGGCTGCTTGGAAGGGGGAGAGGGGACATTTGTGTTTATTGTTTTCCTAAAATCGCTGGTTCCCAGCGCAAGAGTTCTGGCTTTTTTCATCAGTGGTGAGTTGCTGCCTACCAAGCTTGCCACACCTCCCAGGCCATGGGGATGCGACAGGTACTCCATTGGTTGGATATTTCTGTATGCATGTGCAACTCATTAAAAGTCTTCAGCAGAATTAAGTATTTGTATTGTCATACTGTCTAGGAGCACAGATGGTCTTGCTATTAAAGCTCAAGACTGAGAGCCAGGTGGTCTCAGTACTACTTCCAAGCTCTGCCACAAACTTGACATGTGGCTCTGGGCAAATCAGTTGAACACTCTGTGCTTCTGTTTTCCCACTGGTACGGTAGGTACAGTGATTACCTGCCTGATATACAGTATTTTGTGATTTTAGTGCCTTATGAAGTATTTGGAGATCTTCAGTTGCAAGCTGATGCAGAACTGCTGAGCTTTGTTGATGTAGTATAGAGATTAGGAAGAGAAATTCCCTTATCTTCTTTCCTTAAATCTGACAATTATGTCAGAATCTCCAAAGTCACAGCTGTCTTGAATTAGAAAAGGCAGCAAGTAGGAAAATAATCTATATGTAAAACTTCCAAGGTAGTCAGTTTATCTCTGTTCCCATAAAATCAGGAGGGATCTTGCCTTAAAAACAGCCCCAGTGTTTTGAGTTAGCTGTAAAATAATAAACTTGAATAAAATTCTCTATATAGTATATGGGTTTGGTACACCACATAACATTGGTAAAATTCTACTGACTATTTGTAAAGAATACCTGTATGTGCAGCAATAGGTTGGGACTTCTTTGATAGAGGCTGATTATAGTATGGTGCAGTGTTCTGGTTTATGATCCCCCACTGAGACCTGTCTTTAAGATGTTTAGGCATTTGAGGTTCGAGTTTATACGTGCACCTACATCTGTGACTGTTTCGTGTCCAGTAGTAATTATCTGGCAATCATGTGCAAACACACATAAAGAGATGAAACAAGTATTTTCAGAAAAAAAGCCGAATTCGTATATACATACTCCATAAATGAGCACTTAAAATAGGCACAGAAAATGCACACCAGTGTCAGACCTCCTCTCTGAAAAATCCAGCCTTTAAGACAACATCTGATTTGCAAATGAGATGCAAGATAGGTTCTTATTAAATAGTTAAATATCAAGGTTTGAATTTTCATAAAAGGGCAATTTCAAACCTCATTTGTGTGTGTAATTATTGTGCTTGTGAGAGCAACCCTGGTAAACGTGCACATAAATGTCATGTCAGGTTTATAATGGGTCATTGACACGCTCCCTTCCCACAATTGGGTCTGTGGTCTCTGCACAGAGATAGAGCTGAGGGAATATGTAAAACGGGTGTAAAAATCTGGCAGAAAGAGTTTTCTTTCTTGCTGAAAAGAGCAGCAAAGCTTTGTGTACACATCGTCATATTCTCAAGATGGAGTTGCAGCTCTGGGGTCTAAACAAACTGAATCAGTTTTTAAAATAACAGTGCATACTAAACCTTAGAAATTCAAATACAGCGTTTTCCAAGGCTAAAGATTTGGCAAATGCACTCTTGTAAGGCTGTTGTCACTTCCTCTTTCGAAAAGGTTTAGAGAAACTTCTCATTCCTTTTTTTTTCATGCTGGGATTTATTTTTTTTTTTATCATCCAAAAGCTGTGAAATACTTGAAATCTGAGGCCGTTGCTATCAGATAACACACTTTAAGACTCTACATTAAAGAATCTCCCACATGCTTGTTCTCAGGCTTGAGATATGCACATGCCTAAAACAGCCTTTGGTCACAGTAGATTGGGCTGTGCAGACTGATCTGAAAATATTTATCCAGCACTATGAGAAATTAGAGGAAATACAGCCCAGAATTCAGTGGTGGAATCTGCTGCCAATATGCAACTGAGGTCAGGAGCAGCAAGATTCAGACAGGAATTCTGTGGTTATGTGTAAATCATGAATACTTAAGAGTTAATGTGGTTGATTCTAAGGAACAGAGTATGGGAAGGAGGAAGAAGTTAATTTTTCAGGGTAAATCTACCTTTGTTAAAATTCAGGGTGACATCTTGTGGGCAGGGAGGTGTAAATTATGTGTAAGTTTTGGTGTTTCACCTTTCTTTGGTTGCTGGCAGGGGAGGAATTCAGGACTGTACAGCCCATGGGTCAGAGCCAGTGAAGTGATTCTCATGCCTTTATTTATATTAATCACAGAGTAATATATATCTATCTTGTATCTGAACAATCTCTCTACAAAGGTGGAGGGTTTTGGTGATTGTGCTTTTGTGGAGAAGGAATAAATAGCTTCATGAGATGGCAGTGTGGGTGGAGGGACAGCAGGTATCGGTCTCCTGCAAGAAGCAAGGTAAAATATCAGGCTGAACAAAAGTAGCAGCAGAAGGCAGGATACAGAACATGCTGACAGATATCGGTCAAGAGTCAGAACCCAAGGCTAGGACTTGAATAGACTCAGGAGAAGCAGGCAGGAGGCCAGGCAATGAATAAAAATTAGCATGCCCCATACTGCTCTCCATATTGTTGCTTGCCTGACTACTCTCCCTTCCACCCCCTCTCCTGTATTTTCTTTAACGTACCAGTGGTCAAAGGAAATAATGATATTATGTTTGTATGGAAGGCCCTTGAAAGCTATTCTGAGACTAGAGTCCAGAAAAACGTGATCTCTGTTTGATTCTGTGTTTAGTGGGGATTCAAATCCCAACTTAATTTAATCTTTTGATTTATCCTGCAGGTACTGCCTGATTATATTCCAGTGCCACCAGTATTAGAAATGCAGGTATTATTTTTATTTATTTTTTCTGCTTTTAGCACTGAGAACAAAAAAGGCTTAACAAAAGTCATTATTACTGTTACCCTCTATAATGCATCATGAGTGAATAGTTGCATCTCTGAGCTTGTACCCCATCACTTCGTATTAACAACATCAGGGTTGCACAAATCTTTGTTCTGCACTTCAGCTATAGCAGCACAGGATGCTATAATAGGACTGAAAACTTGCTCTGCTTGCTGTGAGTGGTTAAGCTGCCACCATTGCTGCAAGATGGATAGGATCCCACTTAGGAAGCTCAGGGCTTGCCAGGTATAAGGAGGAGGGTGACACTGTGCAGATTTAAACCAGTTCCTTTAGAGGGTGTTGTGAGATTGTGGACAAATTCCTTAGGGATACATGTGTGAGGATGGGGGTTTTTCAGTGTATTTAAAATAACTTGTAGTGTCATTAAAATGTTTGAGAATCCCAAGGAAAACAACCATTAAAAGGTACAGACTGAAAAGGCAGAGGTAATAGCAACGAACTTGCTGTGATTTCAGTGATCCCCTTCACTGAAATACCTGGGCAACTCATGTGCATTCATGTGTTGAAATAAATGGGAATTCACTTTCATACCTTTATTAGCCTAGCAGGCATTCTCTCCATGCCTAAGCTTCCTACATATGAGATAGGGGGTCGGCATTTCCCCTTCCTGGAGTTCTTGCAGAATGAGTACAGTAAAATCAGAATATAATCAGGCACCAGTTATTGTTGCTGTAGTGACATGCCAGATCCCGTGTGTGTTGTCTTGGCTTTCTGTTCCAAGGCTACTAGTTTCCATGTTCGTTTTCTTGTTTTCCTCATGTTCCCTATCTGGACCTTTGAAGTATTAAGCACTTTTATTTAATTTTTCCTCTTAGTTTCCTAAACAAGATCCAGTTCATTCATATCCTTCAAAAAGTCACTAAAATTAAATTTTTGAAATCATATTAAATCTTTAATATTCTCCTATGGATGATAATATGCCTAAGCAGACAAGGACAGCATGCAAATCTAGTGGCATGCCTGACAAACATAATGCATTTATATTAAATCTATTGTACAGTAAGAATTTCTAACTGGCAGTGATCAGAGGAAACCATGCAATTGGATTAATAGATAATTTAGGCTGTAATCCAACAAAGCAGTTAAGCATATGCTTAATTTTAAGCATGTGTAGTATTACTTGATGTTAGTTGAGGCAAAACAAGCTTAAAACTAGGCACATGCTTAAATCAGTTTTTCTGGCTTGCTGACTTACTTGCTGGTGTGAACAAATAAGGTTTTTACAGCTGGAAATGCATGCAGGAGCAAAGTGTCCATTTTTTCCTGTGATCATTAAAACAGCATTCCAGCTCAAGTTTCAAAGCATAATATTTTTATAGGGGGTTAAAAAATGGTGCTCACCAACTGCAGAGGTAAACAGCTTAAAAATTATTTATTTTACCTGCATTCCTGGTTAAACTGAGTTAAAAATAATTAGATAACCCTGTAAAAGCTGTGACTGGTGCTGTTAATTCCACCTAAAGATTTTCTCATGCAATACCCAATAAATGGAGTTATCTTTTAACAAAGGCTTTAAGGGGATTAATATACTGTACAGAAGATGCTTTCTGTAACTCAGTTAAGATATTTGCTGCAGATCTGAGCTAGATCTGAAAGAAGAAAACTGAGCTTCCTGAATGACCTTAGATTGTCACCCAGACTTTTTTTGTACCATCTCTACCAGCTAACTTGCTTCTGACGCTTTACAGTATTTGTGGCCTTAATTGAGGGACATAACCAAACAAATTTATCATCACAGCCCATAAAAACGACAGAATTCATATGGTAGCATTCTTCATTCTCTCCAATTTGTTTCCCTGAAATCCCTGCAGCAATTTATTTGCTGAATACACGGGTTTTCCTCCTTATGAAAATTACAAATTGTTGTCAAGGTTAACGAGTTAATATTCTCATTCAATATTTATTTTATATAGGGGGAGGGGGAAGGAAGAAGTGCGACTGTTCGCACACTTTCTTCCACGGCAAAGTCTGGTTTCTTAATCAATATGACAAGGACACTGTCCTTTGGATAATACCCTGAATCATCGGGACTAAAAAATGAGCTTTATTAATCAACAGCCCCTGATTAATTATTATAAAGTGATGCTCATACATTTCTGTACATTTTAATAATTCCTGCAGAAGGCTAACAATGTCCCCAGTGATTTGAAGGCTTTGGGGTTTGAATTTTTCTAAGCAATGTCACAATAAATAGTCCAAGGGTACTACTGCTCGCTCACTAATCCAGTCTGTTTCAATCCAGCAAATGAGTAAAACCTTCTTTTTCTTATTTCCCATCTATAATTTATCATTTGCATACAAAGTAAGAAGCCAGAATCGGCAGTCTCATCAGTTTTCAAAATATCAAGGGACAACCAGGGTGATTTATAGCAGGCTACACTATCTAGATCATAAAACCAGAATATTTCTGTAAAAACAGACCTAAGCAACTTCTCGATAAGAGTAACTGTCTAGTGGATAAATGTGATGAAGGTCATCAGTCTGGAGAACTTCGTATAGACCTTAGTAGCCATTAGGTCTTTCTTTACACAGAAATATCCCATCCCAAAACAGCTAACAGGCATCATCTTCAAACAGCAATTTGTAGTACTAAAAATACCTCTATTTAAGGCTCTTTTAACCATTAAAGAATATAGGCTGTGTGTTTGCTTGCTACCAGTGAGATGAAAAATATGCCACCTGTTTCTTTTGCTTTCAATGCACTTTTGAAGACATAACCTTGCAGAAAGGAACAGATGCATTCTCTTGGTTATGAAATGGTCCAGCCCCAAAAGATATGTAAGAAGGTGACCACAGCTGGCAAGCATTTGTATTTTAGTTCTAAAGGGCAACATATTTCTGAGCCACAGTGCAAATGCTCAGATGGCTGTACTGCAGATTTGAAGACAAATTAATGTTAATCTACTGAGGTAATAGAAGTATGAAAAGGGTCAGGCATAAAGCGTTATCCTGCACCAGTTCTGATATGTTTATTCTTCTTACTGGTCATCTCATAGTCTGGCTTTCTCTTCCTGTAAAATATTTGCCCAGCTCTGACAGCTCACAAGGATGCTTTTCAAGTGCTGTGGCTGTGATGGATGATATCAGACTTCCAAAGTCACTAGCATCCCATGTTAGTGTTTTAAAATGGTGTGTTTGCATTGGAGAAACTCAGTGGCCTTTTCACAACCTTCCTGCAATGAATGTTTTAATTACTCATCAGTGTTCATCTATACAAAGTCGAGTCCTGGGAATTTTTCACAGTGAGATGTTACAATCTATGCACAGGTAACCCCACAGGTTATTTGGTTTTAGCTTCTTGATTTCTGGTTTAATTTCGGTATGTCAATAATGAGTTCTCTCTTCAATTTATTAATGTGAACCACTGAAAAAAAAATTCATTGCTTTAGGATGCTTTGCGACAAGCAGTACTCTTCTGCATTTTGCCCTCTAGAAATATGGGTCCTGATCACAGATAACTAAAATGAGATTAGGATGTTAGCTTTCTCAAGAGATAACAGCAGTCTAGGTCATAAAACTACCATATGGCAGATTTGGCAGTCTTTACAGAGGTCCATGGTTTAATTATCACAAAGACAGATTCAGTTCCCTACTTGCAAATGCCTGGGTCCTCCTGTGGCAAGGACTGGCAATGCAATTAAGGGGAAAGCTGTATTGTACTTGGCTGAAACAAGAAATGACCTTACTGTGGCCAGCACTGTCACTTCCTAACATTTCACTCATGATTAAGCTTATCATTTCAAACAAACAACATAAAATGTCAGGTCTCTGGTCTGTTTAACATGCGGGAGGAGGGGCAGGGAGGGTAGAGAAGCATAAACCGTGACTCTGTATTGCATGAATCCAAACTGGAAAGCTTTCCTTTTGAAAAGAATTTTAGAAAAGGAAGTTGACAACTGAATTAGAAAAGAGCAGTTTCTCTGCAGACAAAGTTTGTCTTTCTGGTTAAGTCTTTTAGTTACTTGCATCAAATTGCTTGGTGTTCTGTTTCCAGTCCTTTGACCATTCCCACAGTAATGTGTTCTTATACCACTCCCACTTCCATACACAGCCCCTGCTGTGTGCTGGATTTCTGCTGGAGTAACTATGTTGTCACTTGTACTTCCCTGTGAGCACCACCTATTTATTATAGAGTAACTGTGCAGAAGAACACGCAATTCTAGGAAAAACAGTATTTCATCTTATTTACATGGGTTTGAGTCGGTAGAGATCTGTTTGCTCCATAGACTGTTCTTGTCAGCACAGAAAACCAGCATAAGGTTGATGCAAATGACTTCCATTAAGAGCAAAAACTAGGTCTCAGTGTGCAACTGAAATGTTGTTTTAAATGGTCATTTCCAAAAGATGTCCTTCTCTTTGCCTAGAATATGCAGTGGTCTTACTAGTAAGAGGTATGACAATTGTATTCATTGAATAGAGAAAAGTGTGTCCTCATATGTATGAACATTTTACTGAGAGCAAAGTCATTCATGTTCCTTGTTTTAAGGTAATCACACCAGCTAGTATTGCAAGACTGAAGTACCAAGTTAATTTAACTCACCCTTGCAGCTAACAAAATAATTGCTGTAGCTCTTTTGTGTGCAATCGTAGCAGTGAGGATGCCTTTTTGAAACAATCGCATTGTAACTTGATCTTTAAGGTTTTTGAAAGGCTGACATCACTGAGAGTGAATGATGCACATAGACCTAAATGATATGTGTGCTTCTTGTCAGCAGGATAAAAGTATTCCTGAATCCAACCAATATTTAATAAGATGGAAAAATACTAAAATGAAGGGAATGATAAACGTTAAATACTTACTTTGTAGTAGGTGTAGAGAAAGAATCTTTGAGTATTCAGTTAAAATGGCTCTACGAAACCTGCTGCTTATTGTGTTTAGTTATGCAATGTTGCATGAGCATATCTATGGCTATTGTTATTTT